GACCAGCAGTAGTGCAGAGCTTCACAGCTCTGAGCCACTTCCCCAGAGAAAGAGGCAGCAAATGGGGAGCATACTGTAATGCCTCACAACACTTTCTACTTCACATAAAATAAGTTTGCAGTCACTGCACCACGTATAAACCTCACAAGAAATTTAAAGAGCATGTTCTATGTTCTTGCACTGCCAGAACAATCAGCAGGCACCAGGCAGAACTGTATTTATTACTCTTCACTGTCCTCCAGCAGGAGACAAAAGAAATGCTTGTCTTTTCCTGGCAAGTGAAAACCCACTAAGTTTGGACTATAGCTGCCACACGAGGATTTGCAGTTTAAGTTCGACAACCTGTCCTGGTTACGACAGCCACCAGAACCCAGCGGGCTACCAGCATGCTATGGCCTCCTGAGGAGTTCAGCTCCAAGATACCTGGAAGCTTCTCCCTCCCTAACTCTTGAAACCAGAAGTGACACCGACTGGAGGGTTTAGCTATGTGTATGCACACAAGTGCTTATTGCCCCGCAGTCCAGGTTTTACCCACCAGAGTCCAGAGCACAGGAAAAACCCTGGGCGCTCGCACTATCAATAGTCTCCCCAGAGTTTCAGGGTAGTTGTCCTCCACAACCTCAATTATCCGAAGCAGGGCCTTAACACCAGGTCGCCAGAGATGCCGCATATTTAGCCCTTCCAAGTCCACCAGGCACGTCCAAGACCTAAAACAAACACACAGGGAAAAAAAGTCCAAAATAGCTCAGCAATACAACAGCCTGCACAGGATCTGGGGAAGCAAGCAGGGAGACCAACAGGTCCAGCAAAAAGCAGATCTGCAAGACGGCCCAAACCAAGGAGCTTTTTGGGACACCCATAGCTGAAGGCAGGAACATATGCCATCAGTGCGGAAGAGGGTGAAAGCATGAAGGCCTATTGCTAAAAATAATTCAAAAGTACATTTTAAATGAAAGCAGAAGCTGGCAGGCAGTTTCCTGTATAAACAGAGAGTTACATGGATCCAGATTAAAATCACCAAGATAGCAAGACTAACTCTATCTGAAGGGGGACAGAAAAACATGTAAGGAAGGACCTAATACTGGCATTCACATGAAGCTGTAGAATTTACCTGCACTCAAGTCTACTATACATGGGTATCCCAAGCCCAGGCACAGCCCGTAACAGACACACACTGCTGTCTGCACTTTAACCCTTAAGCACAGCATCTAAAACCTTCACAGAAGCATTCCTCTCATTATGTCAGTTCAAACTCTGTAAGGATACATGAAAACTATACTAACGTGATGGGGCGACCAAAGATGTTGGTATTTTCCTCACATCTCTTTTGTCCTTCCTCATTTATTGACAGAACCTGAAATCAAAGATAGTACAGACTAGGATTAGCCTGAGTATGACTGAGAAACCAGCCTAGAGATCTTATTTAAAAAAAAACAAAACAGAAGTCTAGCAGCTCGAGTACTTGCAGTGTGCAAAATAGAAGTCTACATGCAAAAGAAAGGCTTCTCTACAGAAAAGTTGTGTTGGTATTGAAAATTATCAGAAAATGTCCTTCTGGCCCATTTGTACCATTACAAGTGTTTGGGTTTTGTCTCTGCAGGAAGACAGAGTTGTGCTGCGCCAAAGCCATTAAGCCAACTTCAAGCTGCAGCCATGAAACACAGGTGTTGCTTGTGTCAGGCAACTAGATTCCAGCTGTACTATATCAAGACATTTAATCTTCCCAAGAGAAAAAGAGCTCATCTGGCTAGAAATGAAAGCACAACTTACATGTCGCAGCAGTGATTCCTCTCCCAGGGCTTTCACCAAACCTTTTGTGTCCATCTGGCCAAGACGAAGGATGTAGAGCGGGCGTCCATCTTCAAAACAAAGGTAAGGGTTTAAAGAGGGAAGTACTCTAGTCTCTTTTTACTCTATAAAAGCCACATTAAATATCTGTATAAGGATAGGAATCATATCCAAGGCAACTTTAGCAAAGAGGTGCTGCTTTGCACTAGCTCTAGTCTGTCTGATCTGCACAGAGAAAATAAAACCATGGCAAAACAGAGTGGTTATTTACAGATGTTGAACTGCTTTGTTAACTTTTAAAGTGTCAACACAACTTTCACCAAAAATTCCAGGTTACTTATGAGGTCCTTTAACGTCAATCGTGCTGTAGCATTGACATACGGGGCAGCGTCTGACCTTTGTCTTGATAGTGCCATCCTCCAGTGTAGTATTCATCTAAGAGGGCTGGAGGCCTCCATGACTGCAGGATGTAATCCACCTGGTACTGCTTTCGCCAAGACAGGGACTGACAGAGCATTTCTCGAGCTTTGTCAATGTTGAAGTCCCGAGCCCGCAGAAATCGAAGGATATGTTCATCTTTGGGGATCTGAGAGAAGAGAAAGGCCGAGGATCAAGGCTAGTACATTACCTTCACCACCATTCCATAAAGCACACATCACTTTTTCACCTCTTAAAACTAAGATAGTTGGCCTCTTCTCCCATATAACAAGTGACAGGATAAGAGGAAACGCCTCAAGTTTTGCCAGGGGAGATTTAGATTGGATATTAGGAAAAATATCTTGACTGAAAGAGTTGCTAAGCATGGAACAGGCTGTCCAGGGAAGTGGTTGAGTCACTATCCCTTGAGGTATTTAAACAATGGTTAGATCCGGTGCTTAGGGACATAGGTTAGTGGTGGACCTGGCAGTGCCAGCTTGATGGTTGGACTCGATCTTAAAGGCCTCTTCCAACCAAAGAAATTCTGTGATAAAAAAATATTAAACCTACATTCCTTTTGCCTCCTTAACTAATCCAGCTGAACGTAGCAGATGGTGCTAGGAGCACAAAAGAAGTATTCCCAGTCTGCAAGAAGTCTCTCTCTGATCCCTGACTGCCAGGAGCTCCAGAAGACTCTGGGCCCGTTGAGGTTCCTCTCAGCTAGCTTTCCATGAGGACAAATCAAACACCATCTGGAAGTCAACCAAAACTACAACCTACCCTCTCTATCACTCACTCCAATGCTTCCTATCAGTAATTTCAGGATCACAAACACAAAAGCTTTCCCAAACCAAACCGGTAGAATGGCTTATTCCAACCGACTTCTGAATCTCTCATGTTCCCTTTAGCTGAAAAATCAAATAAAATTTGCCAGTGATACTATGCCACATAAATTAACAGTAAACCTGATAGATTCCATACAAGTGCCAAATTTGACTAAATGCCTGTCAGCTGCAAACCCAGATGGCTTATAGGTGTACGTGCTGCTGCTTTCTCTTGACCCAAACTTCCCCAGAAATGCTTGGCCTCACTCACTAAAATCAAGTTTTCACTAAAAATTCAAGATCTCTTGAGCAGGGCTAACCTCCCCTAGAGTATCTGGACCATGTTCAGCCCAACACGAGCGACCCGAGGCCTGTTGTCATACAAACAAAGGCGTGTGCTCAGGAGTCAAAGCACTTTTGTTCGCTCACTGGCCTGCCCAGGAAAACAGAAAGCAGGGAAGAAACCAAAGCCGTCGGCAGCGTCACGCTGGGAGTAACCTCAGTTTCACGAGCTGGCACAAAGCTGCAAGAGACACAAAGAACTGATTCCACCGAAAGAAAGGGGCAGAGTTCAGGCAGCCTAAAGCCAAGCCAAGAAGCACCTGAGGAGATGGAAAATAAACACCCTGCGGCATATTTTAACACAGCGGACACTGTATTTGTATGGCACAGGAAGGGAAAGGGCAACCTCCCCAAAGAGGGTCTTTGATGCATTTAAAAGAATGTCACCAAAATCTTCTGCATTGCAAGCAAGATTAAAGGCAGCAGAAGTCTCATTAGGTGATTTAGATTCACATTTCTGCTGCCCAGAGGAAGTGGTTACTCACAGGACAACAGGCAAAACCACAGACATCTCTAACAGTCCCTGGATCTTCTGTAAGACCCAGGAGAGGGGATGGCTGTTAGAGGATTCTGTTACTTTTCACGTTTCAAATCTACACCGTACACAGCTAAGAGGCAAATTCAGCGCTTCTGCCTGAAAGAAAGGCAAGAAGCTCTGAGGCGACTCATTCCATAGTGGAACCAGTTTCTTATGTTTGGCCCAACCAAAGCAGTAACTCCCAAATCCAAGAAAATGGTTTTAATATCAGCCTGGTTTTCTATTTACTGTCGAAACTACATGTACTTTTCTACATGGTGCAAAGCCGTTGATTACTAGCTTTAAGTATCTGCAACATTAACAGCATTTTGAACACCAAGGTTGTTTTGTCAACCACTCAGATTTTTTTAAAGCAATGATAAATCTAATTCTAAAGGATAATGTCTGCTTTGGAAGGAGCAGGGAATGGATAGTGAAATAGGATGAAAAAGACAAAAATAACAGATATTTTTCACCAGACAGGAGATCTACAAATATTTTTTGACAGAAGAATAAGGACATCTCCGCTCTGAATTAAAAGAACAGATTGCTACAGCAAGGTAACAGCCTCTCCAGGGAAAACTCAAGTCATGTAGGGCAAGTTCCTGATTCTGCATTGTTCTGAGAAGCAAAAGGGTGAGGGGCAGGAGGTTTAGGACACAGATTCAACAGGCAGCACCATCCTTCCCACCTGTTCGAGACCATGTATGGAAACAGAGCTCACAAAGCCGACACGAAGGGCACAAGGCAACTCCCAGCTGTCGGGGACAGCACTCTGCCACCAGCAGCACCTTGCCGAGGGACCTGAGGCAGCACACGCCCCTGGCAGGACGAACAAGGGCCTGCACACCCTCACAGAGCTCCAAGCACCCCAAGAGGTGCTTCTTTCACTTTTTTTCCTCATGTGCTGTCAGCTTTTACCTTCTCTAGTTTCCATTCCCCAGTCTCTGACTAGGAGAGGGGGAAAAAAAAAAACCTAACTAAAAACCCCACAAAACAACCTACGGAACAAACTAGGCAAACATTTAGATTGTGCTGCTTCCACCTGAAACCAAGGTCCTCGGAGACGACACACACAGATAAAAGTCTCACTATCTTACTCTCATCTAGGGCTCGTTTTCAGCTGGATACCCAATAGCTGAAGTATCTCCTACCACACACAAGTCCATTTTACCGGGCAGGCCACGGTAGATCTGAAAAGCCTCATGTCCTATATTTCAGAGCATTACATGGTTAGTTGGGAGCCCAGTCCCAGTTGTTTTCTTGGAGGCAGAGCATCACAGGGACATGGCAGCAGCTCGCAGACAGGTGTTCTGACAGTCCTTCAAGGGGTCCTTTGGTCCACTGGGTGCGTGTAGATATATTCCTGTAGTCTCTAGCAGCTACCACACTCTTGGGCATGGTCAACCTGTTGTTGATGTTACCATATACCAGCGGCCTTGGATAGATTCGGCGGTTGCCTGGTGTTCTGAATTTATCAGCTCTTACAGATTCAACAGCATTGTTAGTCTCCAGAGCTCATCAGCTGCTGGGAGACTTTCACACAGTACCTCAACACACACTGTTCTCCTCAGATTTCTGTTTTTCTGTAACCGTTTCTCCACCCACCAACACAACTCACATGCACAGACAGGGACTGCTTCATGAGATCAACAGTAGAACTATAGTGCTAAATCTTTGTTACCTTTTATTTCTAAATGGGTGATACATGTTAGTTTTTCCATGAAAAAAATAGGGCTTTATAAATCACATTTAAACTCCTTATACTCAGACAAGACATGCTCTCTCCTGGCTCCAAGAAAGATATAACAAGGCATGCAGAAAGCACCAACAAAGCTCCTTGCAACCAGGAGCCTCTTTTGGGAAGATCAGTTCAAAGAAGATAAAATAAAATTTGAAGTCTTCCAAAGCAGAACACTTCCCAACTCGCCCTGTATGACTGACTGAGCAGTTACCTTCCAAGCCAAGAAGTTTACTTCTGAAACGCTATCTAGCTATACTCTGTTTTTAAGGAGGACTAATTGCTCCAACCACCTTTCTCCTGTTTTCCCCTCTTTATCTACTCAGCCCACCCAATTTCTCTGTCTGTTGCTATCCCTTGGTAGTTTCTTCCTTCCCATCCCATCTTGCTCCATCAGGAAATCTCAAGTTAGATCCCTCCAGGCATTCAAGCTCCCCGAGATCTTTTATTTCCTTTTCTCAGCCACATACCACTTACCCTCACAGCCTGATATAAAGACTTCCCTGTAACCAGGAGGAGCCCAAGCAGTCGCTGAACATCACAGCAGAGCACAGACACATCCAGCCCACAGTACCCGAGCTGCTTTTCAGGGAAAAACATTTCTATCTATACTAGCTGGCAAATGCCAGATGTACTTGCCCCGATTCAGTGCCCACAGCTCTTCTATTCAAGGTTTACACAATATACCTCACACCACTAGGCGAGACTGTCTCTGCTTCCCGAATCCTGTGTGGTTTTGAAATCATACATTTGGATAAAGAAGATTAAAACAAACAATGGCTCCCTGTCTCACCTACCCACCTTGCCTTTGTGTGTTTCTTGAAGCCACTGGCGAAGGCGGATCAAGCAACTCTCTTGCATTGGAGTCAGCTGGCCCAGATACCGCTCAATGTAATCAGCATCCAATTTGTCAGCTGGAAAGAAAAAAAAAAAAGTACAATTCAGAGGAGACTTGGCATAGCCAGAAAGGAGACATGCAGTTATTTCTACACATCAGGTTACTCATGATTTACACTGGAAGAGCACAGAAAGGCCTCATTTTTGCTGCCTGAGGGATGCGAGTGAGTGATATTCTCACAATGTTTAGGGGACAAGGATACTTTGCCTGTCCCTTAGAACACTAATATTTCATTCAGCCCTGAACTGCTCCAGCAGGAGCTTTAAAAGAAATATTATGAGCTCTGGCACTCGCCTCATTAACCACTCCAGGACCTAGGTACCTAAATCCTTTGGTGTCCGAAAGATCTCACACGCAATTCCTGTGACAAGAGGTTAAAAAGCTGCCAGCTGAAAACTACAAGTGTTATTCTGCTTAAGGACACCAGAGAGAAAGGGAGACGAATGCTACCATTCCTGACTGCAAGGGTGAAGTCCTGTGCATAGCAGCAGCTCGAGGTCCCTCCAAACCAGAGACAAAGAACAAGGGGCCAGAGCCTGCCAGCATTCAGAGAGCAGCAGATGTGCTGGCCAAGGCTTATATGTGGAGGCCAGCAAAGAGAATATGGAGCCCAGAGGGGAACAGCACCAGCCAGGAGCTGTGCTGGAGGTGTGAGGGCACAGGAGGAGGAGGAGGAGGGCTGGAAGGACCACCTGGAGCCAGCTCTTAGAATCATAGAATGTGCTGGGTTGGAAAGAACCTCTTCATCAGGCAGGGTTTGGTTTGTTTTTTTTTCCCCAGTAGATACCATTCAGAATAAGGCCTGGAAGCCCACAAGTTACGCTGCTGCTGCCTGATAATACAGAAGTTCTCTTTGATAAGTGCTACACTCCCACCGAATCCAGAGAGCCAGCAGGCTGGGGAGCAGTCCTGGGGAAGATAATCACTTCCTAAACATGAGTATAAGCAGAAAACTAAGAGCTACTCTCCTTCTAGATGAGGTCTGACACTCTTAGATTAACTTTAATCTGAAAGCACATGAAACATTTCTTATAGTCAGATCCTCTGTGAATTTCAATCTTTTTTCCAGATAAATTCCAACACAGGGAAGCTACCAGAGTAGGTCTTGTGGGACCAGAATCAGTGACAGTTTCAAATTCCAAGCTTTTCCCCTAGCTACACCCAGTAAAACAAGTGCTGCCTTTCCTTCTGAGGAGCAACAACTCCTACTTCTGATATCACAGCTCTAAATTAAAAGGCCCTTCCTACTTCTTTTGCAAGAGAAGAATTTTATTTAGTCTAGAAGATATCACCACTTCAACACACAGGAAGATAAAGTCCAATTCAGGCATTTGGTATGAGAAATGCATTAGGCAACATTCTGCAGGTTTGTCTTAGCCTGATGGAGGGGCAAAACCCATCCAAACCAATCCCCAAGAATATTAATTTTGAAACAGCCAAAATATTTCCTTATAATTCAATTACAGCATACTCAAAATACCTTTAAGTTTCTCCAATTTAAGGTACTAAATGCCTTCAAAGTCAGATCAAAAGTAAGGTTTTTTCCTCTAAGCTCAAACAAAAACATACTGCCTGCACAGTTTTTCTTGGTTTTTCAGTTTTTTTTTTTTCTTAGGGGGGAAGGGTTCCATTTGTGCTCTTCTTGAAGAAAGAAAATAACCTTCCTTCCTCCCCACCCACACTCCAAAAGAAAAACGTCCTGCCAAAAAAAATAAAAATACACCCCTCAGTGCTACTCAAGGCATTTAGATTGCCAGCAGCTGCTACTGCCTGGACATTGCATACCATCGGGGCTGCCAGCTTCTGCTGGGGGGCAGGAGCTGCCAGTTTGCTCTTTGGTGATTCCAGGAGCCCCAGTCTCGAGCTGTACAGCATCAGCATCGCGTCCCACGGCCGGGGTTCGCTCGTCCTTCGGTCCACACGCTGCGGGAGGCGTCCAGCGCGGGATGAACGTGATCCCCTGGGAGATCAGCTCCTTCAAATAGTGCTCTATCACTTCTTTGCCCTGTAGCGGAAAACTCTCATTAGAGGGGGGGAAAAACCCCAAAACATCACAATCCAGAACCAGCAAGGTGCAGAAGAGTTCTCCTCAGGACAGAGGACTAATTTTAGAAACAAAGAGAAGGGAAATAGTTGTTTCCTTCCATCTGCATGACTCTGTTGGAAACATTTCAGTATGAAAGCACCACACAAACAGTGAATGACACCACTGGCCACCCAACGCTATGGATGTGGCTACCTTTATAACACTTTTATCCCCTCCTGCTCCCAAACCACCCCTCTGCAGCCCAGGTTAAAAAAGGCCACTGAAAGGAAATGCCTCTGCCCAAGCCACTGGGGAGACAGGGTGCTGGTTATTTACACAGAACTTTCCCTTTCTGCAGGAGAACAGTGTCCTCAGTGTCTGAGGAGCCTGGCACCCACAGCACCCACTGCGATCCTCCTCTGGCACAGCCTGCTTCCACCCCTGCGCAGCCACATTCCAGAGAGCAGATTGTTTAGTGATTTTTTTTTTTTTTTCTCATTGCACACTGGGTTTTTTTACTTTGTTTGCTCTACTGAGTGATTTTAGAAACATAAGCAAGGATACAAAACTATATCGGGTCTGTTTTACAGAGAAGGAAGTAGAGGCACGCCGAGAGCAGGAGTTTGACTTTGGGTTTTAGGGCACAAAGGGAAGCCCAACTTACCCGTTTGATGTTTGAAGTGTACTGCTTCATGGCAATTTTTTCCACTGTGCTTTCAAAGCCAAAAAATGACTTGATGTCAAGAGATGCCGACTGTTCAAAGCAAGTCCATTCTTCATTCTCAGGATGAACCTAAGCCCAAAAACAGATGTAAGGTTAGACAGCTCACCTTATGGCAGGGCCCTTGCCCCAGTACTGAACATTTAATCTACAGAGCTACAGAGCAAGGGGGCAGAAAAGGCTTTATTTCTCTCTGAGGTCAACAGAAGCACATCGTGAACCGGACATGTGGACATTTGTGGTTAAGGCATGCATGAGGAAATGGAGATTAAACCCCATCTCATCTCTGCCCCAGCAGACCCGAATGGTAATATTCATAGCAGAAGTTGCATTAAAACAGCAGTGAGCCTGCCCACTTGAAACCCACTTGCCCACTTGAAACCATCATGTCAAGATCTCCTTATGGAAAGGCAGAAACAGCCTCTCAGAATATGCACTTCCTACATCTGCAAAGGAAAAAAACCCCCCAAACCAGTGTTTTTTGTAGTTTTGGATAGGAAACCCAGCCACTAATGGCAGTCTTGATCCCAAAATTCAGGACACATGGCAAAGCTGGGAGTTTTCCCACTGTCAGTTCAATTTACACCTCCTCTTTCCAGCTATTTCCCCTCAGTTACTCTCTACATGGTAAAAACCTAGATAATAGTTTCCTTTTTTAAACTTAATCCCTTTCAGAAAGGGCTCTACCTTTTCTCTGTAGGTGCTGCTGTTCACAAACTGACAGGAAAGAGAAGAAAAAAAAAAATAATCCCAGCCCCCAAGCAAAGATACAAGCTCTCTAAAGGACACATATTCCCTCAGGGGAGATATTAAGTAACTGTAAGAGCAGGATTGTGTTTCTCCAAGTTGCTTCAGAGAATAGAAAAGGGAAGAGGAGAGATAAAAAAAAAACCCAAAACTCTTTCCGGTGCACTCTGGCAGGGAAATGGGAACTGGTAAAAATAGAGTGAGGAACCATCTTGAGGATGCAGACAGCTAGCTCCCGCCCTGTTCCAGGAAGAGCATTCCCCCCTCAAAGCCCAGTTGCTGACGTTTCCTTCCGAAGAACATGAGCCAGAGGCAATGCAGCCAAAAACTGGCACGTGAAATCGCATCTGAGCCATTCCAGAGTTGACCTGGGAGCGTTTCAGAACTGTCAGCGCCTTTCACCATGACGGAAGTTTGATTCAGTGTTGTTTTTTTAGGAAGCCCCATGTAGGCACCAAGTGATCTGTGGCTCAGGAAACCCCCCCACCATCCAAAACATTAACAGCTTTGCAATTCTTTGCCTTGCTTGAAACAGAAGCTATATACAATTTGCTCACTCCCCAAAAGCTGAGCTGTCGGTTGCTAAAAAGGCAGGTATGTAACAGGATCTGGACTTTGTTTAGGGAACAAAAAGCAGTATCTGATTCCTACCAGAAGCAAATGAAGCTATTTAATAGTGACTGAGCCCTAATAGCACAATTACAATGAAATGGCATGCTGCTGCTGGAGATACAGCCACAAAGTGCAACAGTCAAGGCCACAGATAAGGCTCAAGACCCTTCTCTAAGTATTTAGAACATGGCACTCATGACAAGGTGTTAAAATCTTCATTTTTTGTGGGCAAAACTAATTGCCACTCTTCTCTCTGGCCCTCATCATAATAAATACTAAAAGTTTCTTTCTAAATATCCAGACCTAAATACACACTAGATGCTTTATTAATTTGAATTTCAACCAAAACCAGACTCAAGGAACACCAGCAGCTCTGGAGCACCCCAGAACCTAACACTCCAACCAGAGTATCACAACCAACCTAAAAAAGTTCCTCAAGCCTTACAAAAGCACTGGAAAAAGCTCTCCCAGTTCAAGAGTCTCCAACCAGAGTATGCTACGGTCCAGTGTTCAAATTCATTGAAGCAACTTCCCGCCATCTATTAGCACATGAATTCCAACACTTCCTCCCCAGGCAAACAGAACCAAAGCACTTACTGAGTAGCTGCACGTCTCGTGGACAACCACGCGGTTGGCAAAAGTCTCATTGTGGGCTTCAATGCGGAGAGTCCGCTCCTTCCAGTTCACTGTGTTTTTCTGGATGAAGAAAACATACTCTACCCCTGCAATCTGAGAAGGATAAAGAACCAAAAGGAGAAGAAAAAAAAAGAAAAGAGAAAGAGCAATTTTTATTTTAGGAGCTTTTATGTATCTAAGCCAGCCAACAAAAGCCAGGACTCTGTCACTTGCCTTCTTCAGCAGCCTAGGAGCATCCACATTCAGTTTGCAGCTCCGCTCAATGATATGTATAGCTCCGTCCTCACTTCTGTACTCATGCAGGATTTCACTCCCCAGGAAGACCGGGATCTCTGGACACGTAGGAAAGCGTTTCTCGTATGCCTGGAAGTGGGAAAAAAAAGAGCACGTGGTAGCTTCTGGCTTTAATTTTAACTCTTCCTGAATTAATTCCCTTACAGTAAAAGTCCAGCAAAACAGAGGCCCTTAAGCCCTGAGCAAAGAGGAGCCAATGCTGGGGTTGAAGTTAAAGACAAATAGTTATGAACAGAGCCAGCATCCCCTCACATCAGCCATCGAGCTAAGCAGGTCTTAACATAACTTTTCTTTCACACCCGTGAGGTAGTAACCAAAGTCTGTTGCTATGTATTATGAAGAGACTCCTAACAACTTGAATATCAGGAGTCTAATCTGTAGCTAGCAATAAGCAAGCACAGCTCTGGTGATTTCTGCCATATCACCTGCATGAAGAAGCTATTTAAAAATATTTGATACTCCTGTGCCTTAAAATTTGCAGTGTCAAACAGTTCTAGTTGCCCTAAACCCTCAAGGTAAGGCCACCAATTATTGGCTACTCAGTTTGCCTTGATTTATGCATTTCTAAAGCAATTCTGTCTTGGTTCTGAAAACTTCCTTGTTTTAATTAACCCACATCCCTCCAGAAAGCCTTTTAACCAAAGCTTCTTCCTCTGCTCTAACAAAATCTACAGATCCCCAAGGCACTTGCAGCAAAGAAACTTAAGTTGCATAAAACGGTACCTCCTGTCACTCCCTTTTCCCTAACTTTTCTACCTTGTTATGTGGAAAGACCTTTGCAGGATGGGATGTTTTCCTTGGATTTCTGAAAAACACCCTGTGTTTTGTGATATTATTGTAAATATGTAATTGAAGCAATGCTAGCACAAGGTGCACAAGCAGCTCAGGATCTGACTACGGCTGTGACAGGAGGAGAATCCGTGCTCCCTTTTACCCTCAAGCCCTTGCAGAGAGCTCCATCATTTTGCTCATAAGGACTTTTTTGCCATTGTTCCACACCTGAGCCTAATGAACTGCTGCCATCTCCCCTTTTTCCATAAGGCACAACCATTTCATACAGCGCATAAAAATATAAATACTCGTGGGAGAGTTATCTACCACAACAGAAAGCATCGATGTGATAATGATGGAGACGAGCTCGGTTGTCAGCACATGCTCTGGGTGCTGCATTCTCCCTTCCCACAGCAGTTTACAGGCTGGTTGCCCCTGTACGTATTCATGTACCCCAGTGTTGTGCGTAATACCTGCTCTTAAAATAGCTCAGGCACTTAAGGACACATTCCATATCTCCTGCTCCTAGACCTCTGAGCAGAACAGAAGTTATTTCAGATTATCATATTGCTCTGGTGTCAGTAGGAAAGTGCAGGCAGACTACCAGCTGGGTTCTAGCCGTAAACAAAATGCACAGGTCTTTAAAGCCTCCTCTCCAGGGCACCGAGTAATCTTCTGCTTGCTTTGCCACACTTCTTGGAGAACTCTTCCCATATCTCTGAGGCCCCTACTGTACTTTTCACTCTGGACCACATGAAAAACTAAAACGGCTTAGATAAATATAAAACTTCCCATGGCAAGTGACTGGTTCCAATTCAAACCCATCAGGCTGCATCCAACAACGGCACACGCATTGCTTTAATAAGATTAGCTGGTTATGTCAGGAGCTCCCAAACAGGCAGCGAAATAGTTTATATTTTTTTTCAAGCCGTCAGCAGAACTAGCTGTTATTTTCTCCTCCTCTTACGGTTCTGCAGGGCGCAAGGGGAACAACAGAATCTCTCAGTTGAATGAAAGGCACAAGGTATTGGTTTGCTTTAATACTTCAGCTGCTAATACACCTGCTCCAACTTGCTCTCTCATCTCCTTCTTGCAGTAACTCTGCACTGGCCAGTACATATACACGTGTACTTACATTGTGCATATGTACAATATTGCTTTAAGACAACCATCTTGATGACCTAAAGTCTTAAACAGGATCAAATATATATATATAAAATATATGTATAAATATATAAATATACATAAATATACACACACATATATAAAATTAATGGCATCATGCAGCCACTCTGATCCTTCTAAGAACTGTTGCAAAAAAAAGTACAATGCAGGGTTTTTTAGTGGACTGCACGCATAATGTAACCAACATACGAATGCAATTTAAATCTTTACAGTCATCTCCCTCAGACTGAAATTACACAGTAAATATCATGAGAAGGCTGAGTGAAGACAGTGGGGTTTGGGATCTGTTTGAACTCTCCAAGATATTTTGCCTGGAAATAACAACCAATTGGGTTGGATGCATCTAGAGCATAAAAAGAAAATCATTTAGATACAGTCAAGAGCCTGCTGGAATTAAAAAAAAAAAAAAAAAACACCAGAAGAAAATAAAAAAAAGAATTACAAATGAAACCATTTATAGCTTAAGTAGGAAAGTCATAACAGACACTCAAGGTTTTGGCAGGGTCAGCTCTTCCTTGCCAGCTGAAGGGAAGGCGAGAGAGAGCTGTGGGAGGTCTGTCACAGCACAGGGTGCAGAAGATGGGGAGGTCTCCAGTCTGACCACCTAAGCTCAGAGCAGCAGTCACATAGGCAGGGCTACTTCAAATCACTTAAACAAAGACCTCGCATCCCAGTCCAACACCTACTAAGTGCCACAGGAGCTGGCAAATGATTAATCTCACCCAGCAGCGATTAATCAATAGTGACAGGGCTGACTATGGCATCAGTAAGGAGCGCTTGCACCAAGGTTCTGCCCTGCAGCCTCCTGGGAGATGTGTCCAAGTGGTTTCACCCATGCTGGGCAAACAGTTTATGGGACCAACACCGTGAGAGATGAAAATACCTTGTGAGAAGAGAGTCTTTGAGGACAAAGCAAGGAAGCCACACTTAAGTGTCCTAAATAGTTGGTCAAGTACACAATAAGCAGTACAGAGAAATGCCTCTGCAAGAAGACACTGCCCTGAAGGTCAGCCAGATGCCAAATGAGAACAAGTTAAATAAGAGTACATGTCAAAACCAAAACACGACATTCTAAAGCCTCACAACCACCAAGAAAAAGGAGAAACTGCCTCTGAGTCCTTCACTTTGCTAGTACCAGGGTGTTGTATACATTGACAGTGCAAGGGTGTTCCTTCCCCCCCCAGTTTAATCTCCTGCAGTATGCCAAGAGCTGGATCACCACTGTTTCCTCTAAAATGCAGAGAACGCGGCCAGAGGGCAGGATCTTTTGACAGCTACTCCTGTTTCTCCTCTGCGGCTTTTGACATCCTTTTCTAGCAAGTGACCTTGAAATCAGTGACATGAGAGGCCTCAGGAATCCAAAGCAACAGGGACATCCGAGCACTGAAATCCTGCACGAAACAAAGTGCCTCAAACACCAAACTCCCCCGCACACAGGGAGGTTTCAGGGAGTTTCTTGCAGCGGCTGCTTGGTCTCGAGTGGTTCAATGTGCTCCAACAACAGGCAGCTTCTGTTAGATGATGTAGTTTCATACCTTAATATCCTTGAGGGAATGTTATCCTCTCAGTCCTGGGGCTGCCAACCTACTCCCTGGGCAGCAGCTGTGGCTTTCTCCCCACACGTCACCTAAGAGAAGTGATTCCTCAAACTTCTCACTAATAGGCAAATCGGTTTGGATTCTCCTCATCAGCGTGTAGATCCACAGAGCTTGCGTGCTAAACGCTGCTGTCCAGGAAATCATGCAGAAACATACTGAGCTATTTTGGAACAGCAGCTGGCAGGAAAACATTCATCTTCTACTGGATAAGTGATGCTCTGAAGTGGCTGCACAGTCATCATGCCTTTAGGGTTTGTTTGGGGGGTTTTTTATTTGTTTGTGTGTTTGGTTTGGGTTTTTATACTGGTAAGGCTTCCTTAGTGATGGCATCATGAAGATGTGCCATTTCAGACTCAAGCAAGAGCACAGGAATGGAAAAACTATGGACTGACTCCTGTATGATGCCAAGATGAACTTGAGAGGGATTTTGAAGAGTGCAAAAGCTCAGCTATTGGGGAAAATTATAATACAGAACACAAAGGAACTAAACTGTGATTCACCCAATGTAGACGGAAACTGTTACAGTCACTATTATGTGGCTGTTACAAGGGTAAGGTTTAATCCTTGTGCTAAGAGCTAAAACACTTCAAACTTTCACGATCAGATACAGTCTAAATCTGTAGTAATTAACAAGATTCCTCAAGGTCATGTTACAGTTTGCCAGGATAAAGGAAGAAAACGTACACCTACGTTCAGATGAATGGGAAAGGAGGAGGAGACACGATATCAAGTTTTGAGCTAATGATGTCTAGATCATCATCTCTTTGAAAAGAAGTGATGAGAAGCAAGATAAGACCCTTCATCACTTTTAAGTAGGAAGCGGATGCATTTGGACTAGTTTTTGAGTCCCTTGCAGTCCCTCCTCCTACTTAGTCCAGCTGCCAAAGCTTCTGAAGGGAACCACAGGGGCTATAGTTCACTGGACAATAATCCATTTACCTCATAATCAGTAGAGCAGATACCTCCTGCTCAGTAACCACAACAAAAATGAAATACCCATGGAACAATTGGGAGCCAAGAGGGATTAAATGGATATCTGAGGTGCAGAAATGCACTGAAGGTGGCGGAAAGGGAACTTTCATTTAAGGAGGTGCAGAGTAGCAAAAAAGGGCTCTGGAGCCAGAGGGGAAAAAAACCACTTTTGCTGGAAAGATTTGCCAGTCAAGTCCACTGGACCACAGTATCCAGGCTGCAAACATCAACTCAGTGTTATCTTCCCTGGGACTACAGCCAATAATTTGCCTCATTTCTTCAGCTTTTGGTGAAAGAAACAATTCAGGGAGCAGCAGCTGCCTATTACAATACAGGCACAACCCAGTGACACAGGAAACCTACTAAAACCAGGACATGCATGGCAGCTGCACAAAGCTAACTCGGAAAACTACCAACGTGCCTGACCTCCTGTCCGAGAGGCAACAATATCCCCTTCGAGCTGTTCCGCTATGGCATTTTTCTCTGCTTAGCAAGGAGAAGAAACTCAGTGGTGGATCAGTTCAAGTCTCAAACTATGCAAAG